CCATTTGCAAGCCAGTCCTGTCTGACCCACATTCGTACCCATCAAGGCGGACATTTATTGATACCCTGACGATGACCGAAAACATTCCGTTATATACCGCCACCTACAGGCCAGTCCTGCTCGCTTTTTTCTGTTACTATTTACAAAGAGGGGTTTTTTCTCCTGAATAATTAATCCAATCATTTTTAACTTTTTCCGAGGAGTTTTTTTTCACCCCTCAATCTTCATGTTTCTCAATGGACTTCTAATTCAGAAACTATGAATTGCATTTTTTAAAGATTCAGCCCACCTCGTCTAAAACTCGCATGCAACTTTATTTTAACTTGCTTTGATGGGACCCCGACGGATCTTTAATAAAAATTATCTATCTATCTGTTGTGGACATGACAGACTACCCCAACCAGTGGTCTTTCGAGGTAAACCTATGAATGTATGTACCACCATTAAGGATTTAGGTTTAAGCTACACCAATAATCTTGATCTCTCGCCACACGCTGTCCAGATATGTGGCTTTATTTCTTACAATTTCTATCTTCCTGAAATTAAATTAAGGCTCTATTCTATGTTTGTACTTCCCATTTTCGAGTATTATTGCTCATTATTTGGTTTGATGAACGAGGCTAGTCGTTTGAAAATTGAAAATGTCCAAAGACGTTTTTCTAAAAAACTTTTAGATAGGGAACATCCCAATATCTCCTACTTAGATAGATGCCAGCAAATTAACCTAAACCTTTTATGGGTTCGAAGACTAGAAGCAGGCTTCTGTATCCTCTTTCGCATTAATGGTAGTTCAAATCTTCCTCGGATTCCAGTCCTTACCCCTAGTACCCAATCTTAGCAACTCTTCCTTGATTATACCTTCTCCTGCGTCCTCCACCTCTAAGCTCTCTCTATTTTCGCTTCCAGATATACTTTCCTCTGGAATAACTTTCCAATAAATATGAGATCTTCAGAAAATCTACACACCTTTAAGAGAAGGCTACGCCTTTATCTGAATACTGACTCGATTAAATTTTTATTTTCCCGGACAACTTCCTCTATGACATGGAGAAAAGGCCGCCGGTGTTTTAGGACACCGCCATTAAGTTTCCGTATCTGCTCACATTTTCTTCTTTTGTGAGTCATATCGCTTCCTATTATTCCTCATCAGAATGCGCTCTATCGACGCTCTTGGCGAAACCGTCTGTATTCGCCATCTTCTAGTAGACTGGTCGCATCTCCCTTGTCACCTCCTCGGCTGGACTCAGTTGACTGTAACCGATCGTAGCTGAGTTCCTATGGCCTTGAGACTGGTTCTCTATTCGCCACTTTGATATGAATGGCCTCATCCGGCATATGAATTCTGCCTTGACGATGTCATTTTCGGACCTTTTACTCAATACCACATGCAGGCCAGTCCTGCCTGACCAGCCCACTTACCCCTTCCTGAAATTCGTTATACACTGCCACATACAGGCCGGTCCTGCCAACTTTTTATACATTCGGGAGCGACAGATTTTTCTCCTATAATGTTAATCAATTCATACTCACTTTGTTTATTGTTAAGGAGTTTTCTTCACAGCTCACTCATCTTTCATCGCAACATACTACTTATTCAATAACTATGAATTAAGTATTGTATAGATTCTAAACACCTGTTCTAAAAAATCATAAGAAAGTTATTATTACTTGCTATGAACGGGCTCCCGCACGCCTTGAATAAAATAATAATAATAATAATAATAATTATTATTATTATTATTATTATTAGTATTATTATTAAGGGCCAACTGGTTGAAACCATCGGCGTAGCATTGTCTGTGCGATCCACAGGTCTAATGGGGATAGGCGGACTCGTACTAGCGCGGTACGTGAGTAGGACTGGCGCATTTTTTTGGTATGTTATCAAACCCTGAAAACGACTGTCAAGGATGTTCCAGCCCCGAGTCCGTTCTACTTAAGCAATATTTTTGTACTTCGATTAAGACACTTGGATACAGAATGTTGGGGACTTGTATTGGGGTAGAAAGCATAAATAATATAACACGAATGCACCAAGAACTGATTCACAGACTTCTCCATACCAGTGTTTTTGCGCGCTTTTGTGACATGCTATCTATACATTTTCAAGAAGAGGTACAGTATTTCAGTCTTGCCCGTTTTCAAAAACCTTGTTTATACCGTCTTTCTGCGTTTAATCAAATCGAACCCGCAGCTTCATTTTCTTTTCTCACTGCGAGTTCTAAACGTTTCCTCTACTTCAAGCTTTGGCGCGTTTACCGCACTGTCTCAACTATTGCGGCTCATCCCCCTCCTCTCCGGCTTATCTCTAACCGCCCGTTTCTAGGCTTCTGTCAAAAATTTCACTGTTTTAATGTCTGGACCGTGAAGAATTTTTCACAAACGGAGCCAAGCGTTTAGTGAGTACAGGATCCCAGTCAGATCTTGACATTTTACATTTGAATGCTTTAACCAAGAAGTCAAGTACCTTACCTGAAACATTATGCCTTCAAACCACTAGACCAAATACGAAATTCTGTCTTATAAATAAGAATAAGATAGTCTAAGATCATATTTAAGTGACTAAAATTACATAATTTTGGGATCCGTGAATTACTGTTTAACTTGTGCCAGTGGGGAACTGAGACTTCCGAACCGTGTCTGGGCTCTTTACAACACGCACCTTAACGTTGGTGGCTGTGCATAACAGGGGTCAAGGATGATAGGCGCTTCAGGTATATTTTTTCTCATTTCTGACGTCTTTTCTTGACATCCACCATATATTCTGGTAGTAAAACTGCTTCTTTAATTACATATTAAGTAATTAAACTTCTTTTGCAATTGGCGCTAACGAAGTCTGGATAAAATTGCTTATGCTATAAGCATTCCCGATCAATAGTGGACGAGGCGCCTCGTCCACTATTGATCGGGAATGTTTTTCATCACACTTACAGTGTAATTATGGGAAATCTTCACAACATATAACACAGAACTTTAGACGTCTACACAATGATGCCGCGGACTTTTGTGTGTACTTGGTTAACCTGGGTAACGGTTCCTACATCGGAAATCCCGGGCGCTTTTCGCTGCCTTGTTAATTTGGATGTCAGCCAGTACCGACATTTTTTCTTCTTTTGCCTAGAAAATTCCTTTGATTTTGCACGGTCTGACTATGCACCATTGAATACTTAATTCCGTTGTCAATAGCCCATATGTGGGCTATTGTTGCGCTCCCGGCTAGTTCTCCAACTAGCGTCATGTAGCACAGGCCACGAAAAGTTCGCCTTGAGAAGGCAAGTTCGTAAACTCTGGGTGACACCGATTCACGTTGTCTGTCGCGTCATGTCCTTAAGTTTATATTACTTGCGTGGGAGTTATCGAGTTCACGCATCTGGCGCAGTCGACTAGATTGTTGATAGGTGCTCTTAGAAATTTGATAACGACTTGCCTAATTGAAATAGAGTTACTAAATTCCTCCTTGATTTAAGTTTTCCAAGAAGCTCGAACTGCAGTCGTTACGCCAACTGCCACTACCACCACGTAACCCACACCTCATGATTTTCATTCTCCCTATTTATTTCTTCATATATGGTTTGGCAGACTTTACATAGTTCATATTTATTTCTGCTTAACCTTAAGACTGTGTTTCCCAACTAATATATACATATATATACATATACACATAATAAGCTGGCTGGAACGATCCCCCCAAACTCCCTATGACCGTGAACAACAGTGGGACACAAGTCACCAAACGGAACCGGGGCAAGGTTTTTCACTCTATTGATGGCAACGGACCTGCGTCTCACTCCTCATCAGCCGCCAATTACAATGCAGCCCCATCGGCTTTGGTTCCGCAGCCGAACGCCTTCTCGTCTAACCTCAACTCTGATGTGCCGACTACACCGCAACCACTGTCAACTGTAGGTGGTTCCTGCTCACAAATGTACGCGCCTCGTTTGGGACAATCACCAATTACTGCTGTTAGTAGCACTGCACTTCCACCAGCAGGCCCCCTCCACTACGACGACGGTTCCACATTCACAATAACGCAGCTGACCACTCAGATTAGCCGAGTCTTTCGCAATCCCTCCTTGGACGTAAGTTTACTTTGTTCAGTTTGCCTTCCGCACTCAGAGTCAAAACTACCTTACGAATGCTTTAGCAGTTTTTCGATTTTGTTCCCTGAACAAATTTTGGCTCTTCCCCCTAGTGGTGATCAGCGGATGCTATCAGTCTTTCGCTATTTTATGCTTGGTAATTGGACCATCTATTCCTGGTCCCACCACCTTCGTTATTCGTAAACTTGCTTGCCTAAGGACACCGGATTGCAAGCGGTGACCGTTACAGCATCTGCAACCCGACACACGCAGTCCGTCAGTTGACACTGACAACCGAGCCATTCTAGGATGACATACTAAGTGCGCAGGCGGTAGTACACTTATTTTAGGGTCATCGGGTCCATGCTCTGCCCATGTGGCTCTGGTACTTCTCTATTTCAAGAGCATTCCCCAAGGCCAGCAGCCCACTTTTAAATTTTGAGAGTGCAGTCACTGTTTGTACTCGTCCTAGATCTATAGAAACGGATATCGAAATTATGACATTACAACTCTTCTGTCAGCAAAACTACCGTTTGCCACCTGTTTCGTGGAAATGCTGCCTTTGCCGCCGAAGTTATTTACATTCGGCCTATTGGCCCGTATAGTTTCAATGTTTGTGTGATCGACCACTAATTTCACTGACTTGCTAAAGGACTTCACAAAAATTTCAAAGCCGTTTGTCTTTTTTGCCTATTTTATGCCCTAGGCTTTGATTTTCACGTCCTAACGATAGAGGGCTCATTCGGTCATCATAGTTCCCTCTTATTTACGCAACAGGTAAACCTTTGTAGTTCTTAACGCTGTCAGTTTATCCGCGAAGAGAACAACAGAGTGACCGGAACCCATGAGGGTTCCAGAAAGCACTCACATTTCTATGATATGCATATAGTGTGCATCACAACGAACGGACGTCCTGACAGTTTTGTCGAGAAATACAGGCGAAAAGCCAGGAGAGGAAAACCCGAGGGGGCAACCGAAACCTGAGTTCTGACGTGCCGTGCTTTGTGTTGTCATTGTGTCCAAGGAATTCGCCAAATTAATGAGCGAATTTGGGACTGAAGTCTCTCACGAACTGGAGAAGACAATCCGCCGACAGCTCATGCATCTTGAGAACCTATTACCTACCAGTCAGGAATCTGGTGTAAACTAGCAGATAGAATGCAACTGGGACCAAGGGGTATATGTTGGTGAAACCGGCAAACAGGTCCGCACGAGACTGCATAACAAGAGCGTTCTGCGAGACAGGAAGATAAACTATCCTTGGTAATTGCCCACTCGTCCCCGCCAAGAGAAAACTTTAATTTCGAATGCGTGAGAATCGTAGGCTAGACGGATGGCCGGGTTTCGCGTCTACTGCAGACGGCGCGACATATCGATTTGCCAGGTGCCCCCACCTGTGCTACGTAAACGAATCACTGGCACGGATAAAGGTCGCGCCTGGCTGACGTGAGCTGTACAGCTACTTTATTTCTTGATGATGGGCTCGCGTGCGAATCCAAATAGTTGTAACAATAAACAGAGATCGCATCCCCTTCATATTCAATTAAATTGCCTTGCCCTCACTTGTTTTCTATGATTCGGAATATCATATAATACGTAAAGTCTTCTACTGATTTCAATTAGCTGTATTTCCAGAGCAGGACGTCCGTTGAATTACTAGTGGCACCTTCTCTGTCTGCTGCTATCGGATGGACGTCTGTAGTTGCAGATCGTTGTTTAAAGCGTCTTTACTAAGTCTTCCTGGGCTCCCATTGGTTTTCGGCATGTGAAAGTGATGTGCAACACCTCCAAAAACCGTTTTCGTGTGACGGAGGTATACCATTGCGCGTAGCAAACTACCGTTCTACATACTAATTATCCACCATTATTACCGCAGGCTATTAAAAATAGGGAATTCACATAACTGCGAAAACTTGTGTCATCCAAATGGGGTTGAATTCCGGATCCGCCGGATTTTGCACTGGGGTGCGCTGCCCTTAAACTATGGGCAGTGCACTGCTACCCGACATCCCCTTATCTCTGATTCGCATTTCATACTTGATATAGCATAGGGTGAACCACTTTTCCCCGGAGATCGGAAGTTCAACCTCCTAGACGCCGCAAATGTGTAGTTGCAACGGGCACCTTGATCTACTCCATAATTTTGTTTTCAAGTGAGAACAGCTGTTGTCACGACGCATTTGTTACCAACGCCGCTTCAGTAGCATCGTTCATGCCACAGGGACTGATACCCGCCCCCAAATGAGAACGCAATGGTGAGGGGTTACAGTGTGCATCTACTTTGCTGAATGAATGCGACAAAGTGGGGGGATGAGATACTCCGGATCCTCACCCTTATCCCCAACGACTTTTATCAAGGAAATAAAAACCTCCATATTATGCTTAGACGTTCCCGTTCTGTCTATCAGCTTGGGAGGCCAATTTTAAACCCAGAAAAGTCGATAAGGGATAGTTTACATAAATCGAGGTTCATCATGGGTTTGACGAAGCTTTCACTTCGACTGTTCGAAGGTTTCTAGGGGCTTCGACTAATCAAAACGTAGGGCAGAGCGTTCTCTTGTTCGAATTCAATGCCTCTGAACGAGATCCCGTGATTTTTCTTAACGTAAGGAGAGCAGGTTAAGCAAACCAAATTAAAAATACGTATGATAGAGACCTCAAGTTATTAGCGACCTTAATTCCTCTCTTAGTTTCTGTAGTAATCGGCGGTTACTTTCCAAGAGCGCTGTAAACGGACGAAGCTTTGTAGAATTATCCAAACGTGAAGGACCTTTTCATGGTGGACCGCCCGCTGGCTACCATTTGGCCGTCTTACCGTTATGGAACGGCTTTAGAGGGGGGCTGTGACAACCCCTAGATCCATTTACTTATTATCTTTGACAACCTTCCTTTCATCTAGGAAGTAGCAATAAACCTTTCGATTGACGCCTATTTTTTTATTACTCGCTATTGAACCTCGTGAATCAGTTAACAAACCATTCACTGAAATGGCTGAGGATTTCCTTCAACATTTGTCTATGATTATTAGGTGTCAGCGTTTACCGGGTTTTCACATTCTTTGGATGACCGTTGCGCTTCAGTCATCCTGCCATCGTTGATAAAAACGGGATACGTCAAGCGTCCGAGAACGGAACCACCCAGGACCCCATATCTTAACCGACACGAGTAGAATTTACCGAAATTATTCATACGGACTGGAGACAGCATGTAATGAAGATTGTCCCCAGTTCCGATTTATAGGAGCTCTACGACACTTCTCTATGGCGCACTGTTGGAACCTTTCAGAGGCTATATACAGTAGATGTGCAAACTCACGAGATGTCAAACGAAATTCTGAAATGCGTTTTCGACTCAAAAAAGATAATTTAAGTAGGGTTGTAATATTAATTGCTGTGTAGCATAATCCCGATACATTTCAGTTACTTTGGGATGCCAGCTTTTGAACGAACCTCTTTCCGGCGGCCGACAAAAACGACACTCTAACCAATGGCTACTTAGGTAGTACGAATTTTGCTAATTGATTTTCGGTACCCCCACAAATTCAATTATATTTCATAGAAAACATGCATAAAAGTTTACACTACTTTTCTTATTTGGCAGACAATTACGCCTTTTTCAAATTTTGTACTTTAAGGAAGGGTATAATTCCGTTTTAAAAAACTTTTCCAATCCCCGAATAATTTTGAATCCTACTTACAGTTACACTTGCGTTCTGGGTCTCCAAATTACGAGCTATATATTTTCCGTTTACGGAAAATCATACGTTCCTAAATGCTATTAAGAGGAGACCTATGGGGTTATTAAAGTTTGCAGTAGATATGAACCGTGTTGTAAACTTTACACGCAACATTAAATTCAGCGACACGATGTCTTATGAACGGGCATTTCACGGTTTTAAGAAATCTCATAATTAGACTTTTTTAAAACCGAATTCAAGTACAACATTTGAAGGAGACGTAATTTTCCGCCAAATGAGTAAACGAATGAATATTTTATGCATGTTTTCCAGGAAATATATTCGAATCTATGGGGGCACCCAAAATCAAGGAGAATAATTCATACTAATGTAGTCATTTTTTACAGCGTGATTTTTACGGGCGATCGGAAGGAAGTTCTTTCAGAATTCGGCATCCAAAGGTAGCTGAAATGTCCTGGGATTAAACTGTACGGCGATAAATATCACAACTTTACCTGCGTAATCTTTTCGAGTTGAAAATGCATTTCAGAATTTCGGTTAACATTTCATGCGTCAGCACATCCACTGTACGTGACCGACACGAACCTCTCTGAATTGATCGGATAAACATGATCTGTTTTCAGAAGTCTTGAGGAGCTCCATGCGATTAATTTATTTTGTTCACCTCTATTCGTTATCTACCACTACTTCTTCATGACATTCAACCTCCATATTGCATAGATTCCTGGAAGAGATGCAATCCTATCATCCCTGACCTCCCTTCAGACGGAACTGGCTAGTGGACGACTTTCCGCCTCTGTGCAAGTACTTCTCCGAAACTTATTTTCATGTAAGTTCGTCATCCCCCCCCCCCCTTTTTTTTTCACCTAGACCGAAAAATCCGTCCGTTTGGTGTGTCCACGTCGATAAGAGTCTTTTCGAATTTTCGTCTAGACAGGAGGTTTCACGTTAAGTGCTTCAACAACACCAGTACATCCATCGACTTTAGCTCAACCGACTATGCCGGCCATACAATCAACCCAGTGACTTAGATTATAAAACGCCCTATAATTTATTCCGAAAAGGACTAATGATACACATCCTGCACTCCTCCAGTTTTTTTTTTCTGTACAGGCCGACCCGGGCAAGAAGTAAAAATCAGGTTACTTAGATACGATCTGGAAAGCGGTATTGTGACGCCTGTATGCATAAGTGGACCAACCGGGCAGCCTCCCCGCAGCAACCTTTTCAGCGGCTACCACATCACATGTTGCGCGAGATGTCCAGTCTCAGCTTCTAAGACAATATGCAAAGACGGCGCCAAGAACGTCGTAGTCAACACCGTGTGTGGGTCGCCGCAAACCGGAATTCCTCAATGCCTCCAGTCGTTTTGTTCCCAGTCCCCATGTGTGTCGGCAGTAAGCGCATAGTTTCGCCGTTGTTATTTTTGCGACCGCCTCCCGATAAGCCAAGAAAACAAGCACACCAGTGCGTTGAGTGTGCGTTTTCTCCCTGGATATTAGCACGTTTGGTATTTAATATACTTCCGGCCGCGCACATTTATTTGATTGCGAAAAAACGATCGAGGAAATGGACCATGATGTGTGCCTACTTTGTTGTCCTCTGATCTACGCCTCGAATTTTTCTTACTATCATGAGTAGTTTACCGACGTCCCTCTGCTTGCATATAAAAGTTGCTTATGCATATCCCCGCACAAGAGGTCACTCCATGATGACCCCACACAGCATCTCCCCTCCGCTGTGCCCGTCCGAGCAACTGTGTTAGTGTTCGCTTGTTGGTCGCGTGTTTAAAGTGGCTGTTCCGGTCGTGTGGTTTTCTGTCTCAGGTCGTCTGAGAAATCGAGGCCTCTATAGGCACCCGTAAATGAATGCCCTCCGCCAGTCTTGTTTTCTGCGCTTTCTGGACCGCCTAGACTACCTTTTGCTGTGTGGACCAGGGGGTATGGAGTAGAGCGCCAAGGTGCGTGCTCGACCGTGCCATCCACCTGCGCCCTCCCCCGCCTCCGGTCTTCTTGCCTCGCTCTTGACGCCGGCTCCAGGTGAGGAGTGGGGAGGACAGAGTGTGGTAGATGCCGTGCAAGTCTACTATCAGCTGTGGTGGCATACGCACAGGATGAGACCGTATAAACTGTGACGGCCGCTCGATGATGCGGTTGTTGTATATAACCAGGTTTTGTTCTTTTCCCCTCTGTCTCGGTCTGAGGTCCTGGATTAAATGCCAACGCCTTAGTCGCTCCGGCTAAAAAAACTCCTTGGTGGGAATATTTTAATTGAAAACGTCTTGAGAGGTTGAGATTAACCTATACTTTGCAACTCAAAACAACTTTAAGGGGCCTCGGATGCGGTGGGATAGGGGATTCAGTAGTGCGCTTTCCGAGCCTGAAGGCTTCTGATACTGAAACGTCTTCGTTGGGTTAAAGCATTGAGTTCAGAGGACCTTGAAACAAATCGAGATCTAGAACGCGTTCTTTAGGTGTATCTGCGTGCGCCTCCTAAAGCCCCTGTATTCCTTAGGGGGCAGGTCTGGCCGTGCCAGCCACCTGCGCCTCCACCTCCCCCCCCCCCACCTCTGGTCATCTTGACTCTGTCTTGGCACCAGATCTCGGTAGGGGAGGAGGAGGAGGACAGAATGCGGTAGATGTTGTGCAAGTCTATACTTACTATAAGCTAATTTACGCACAAGTCACCGTCCCTGCTCCACCTTGCTGTGGAGCACGCGGTGAACATCGTCGGCAACGACGGTTGAACCGTCGTCGGGCAACTTTTTGCGATTGCAGTGCTTATTTTCTTGGTTATTTTTAAGGACATCTTCGCTCGGACTTATTTCTTTGGCCGCACTCCTTATTCTCAAGAGTCATGTGTAGGTTTTAGAAGTGAATGTGCGTGAGGAGGGCAAGTGTTGGCTTATCACATCTCGTGTCCTTTCTTTTGTAGTTATCCAACAAAACGACTACGAGCACGCCAACGAGACAATCAATGTGCTCAGTTCAAATCACGGAATGGAGGTATGTTGCCAGTGCCCTCCTTTCGTTCTTTGACGCCATTTCTCTGTTACATCCGACACCTGTTGTATATCCACTGAGTAACTCAACCATCCATATTGATCCAACTGTGAAGAACTCGGCGCCTCGGTGGGCTTCGAACCCACGCAGTAAGGGTAAGGCTTTAGTACAGCCAATGCTCTAACCACCTGAGCTACGAGGCCCCGTCGGAAGACGCGAGTTTAGAGGCTGGTTAGAGCGTTGGCTGTACTAAAGCCTCCTCTTGCTGTCGTGGGTTCGGATCCCACCGAGGCGCCGAGTTTTTCACAGTTGGGTCAATATTAATCATGCAAAATCTGCCAAAATATCTATGAACTCAACCATCGTTATCCACAAGGACTGTATTTCTGTGGTGAAGATGGCCTTCAGGCTTGTGCTACCTTGTCTTCGCTTGCTGCTCAGTTCCTGTTCGGCCCCGGGGGGGACAACGCGTAGTCCAGACGACAGCGACGTCCACCGAGCATCTCACCCCCCCCCCCCGTGCTAGTTCCTGAGCTCACCAGAAGCGCACTGCACTATCAGTTGATCTTATCCGTAAGGAGGGGGCCATCGCAGTCTCTCACCCCTTGAGTTACACACCTGCCCATTTTATGTTCGCCGACGAGCCACTGCACGTCAGTTCAAATTTGGCGCCGCATCTGACTCACAAAGTCTGGTAGCGTGTGTCTGGTTCCCTTGCCCAGCAATCCCAAATGCATATATCCGTATATACATATATGTGCTGTCAGGAACGACGGCACCTTCAGTGCCCCATGGAGTGCACGCAGCGCCAGTGACTTGCGCAGCATCCATCGCACCCCCTCTTCACCTACATACCTTGATCCCACAGTCGGAGGCCAGTGTGGACGCAACGTGGACGGTAGACGTAAACGTTCAAACGGCCCGTCTGTCAGGTTTCGCTAACATCAGTGGCCTAGAAGGTGGTAAAATAACAGGAAAACTTGGTTCTACCAGGGACTGCGAGCTAGGCTACAACGATCCTTCCCGAATGTCTTTTTAGGATTCTCAGATTGACGTTGCTCGTGCGCAGCGCGCTAGGAAGCCATGCTGCCCGCGGTCGTGTCAAGCACGGCAAAATACGCGTTCGACCTCAACCAGCACTTCTGTTGGGTGTATGGCGAAGTGGTTTTCAGGTGGCCGTATTTAGGACCGGTAATGAGATCCCACGCAGATGGAGTTCGACTATGACCCACTTTGCGGTTTCTCTAATTCTCATTTTGATAGGATGTGATTTGAAAAAAGACTTGACCTCGCACGCACATAGGGCACGCACAATGCTGATTATGCTGCCTGCACAGCTGTTCGGCATTATAAGCAAATACAGCTCGAAAGTTGGCCTGCCTTTGGGTGAACCGGTCGGACATATTTGACGTTTGCCAACTTGAAGAAGTAGACAGTTTTAAATACCTCGGGGCAAGGCTGCTGCCTGATGGACAAAGTAAGGACGACGTTGTCTCCCGAATCGATGCTGCCCGCTGGATTTTCTTAAGCCTTCGGAAATGCCTATGGATCCGACGTGACCTCTCCATCGCCACTAAGATTCGCGTGTACCGTGCATCTGTCTGGTCGGTCTTTCCCTGCGGTTGTGAATGCTGGGCTTTGCGCGTGGAGGACGGGCGAAAACTGGAGGTATTTGACCACCACTGCTTGAGGACCATCCTTCGAGTGAAGTTCACCGACTTCGTCTCAAATGAGACAGTCCGCGCTCGCTGCGACAACATCACAAGGATAACTCAGGCCATCCAAGAAAGACGACTGGGGCGGATTGGGTATTTTCTTCGTCGTCCACCTCAGGAGCTCAGTGCTACTGCCCTCGATCCGGCACCGTTGCACCATTGGAGGCGTCGAAGAGGGGGTAAGTTCAAAACCTGACTCGACACAGTTCGTCAAGACATGGAGGTGGTTCTTGGACCTTCGGTATTCGGTCTACGTCGTTGGCGGAGAGAATGGGTTTAACTGTCCAGATCTGCTGCCGCAAATCGTCACGCGGGGAGAGATACAGTTCGGGACATCATCGAGGCCGGCTACATCAGGCATGATCGCAGCCGTATCGAGTGCAAGTAAGAACCGGTCGGCGTCACCGTAGAGTAATTAATGTTAGCACGATACACTGGTATTTGGAACCACCTTTCCTGACAAGTGTGTCTTAACGACAGGGAACACCCGAGGTTGCGTCAGAGTAGCCTGCTGCGCGATGTTTTAGTTGGGCCCTCGTGCGCCAGCCGCTGTCAACTTTCAGCCAACAGATTTGACCACCGGCTAGAGTTTGATTGTTATCACCGCGGTATGCCTTTTGTGGCCGAGCATGCGCCCCCTGCAAAGGCCTCCTGTTTCTTCGAAAAGTCGTCCCTCTCCTGAAAGTTTACTGGCAACCACTGTCTTTCGGCAGGAACCTTAGATGTCTGGTAAGTTGACCTACGCATGCCCATGCATGTCGGCTCGACGTCAGTCCAAGCGGCACGTTAATGCTTGGCACTGGGGGGCCTTTTCCTCGACGCTTGCATGTTTGCTCCTATCCACTGTGCCCGGGAATGCGACATTGGGATGATGTTTATGACACTCAGCGTCAAACAAACTGATTTTTTTCCGTTTTTCAACACCTGAGGGAGCAAGCTAGGCGGGGACTTTAAGAACTACTCTGTGCAGAAGTTAGGTAGGAAGCTATGGCGGACATGACGTCGGACCTGATGCTGTGCATCTCTATGTACAGTGGTCGACATCTCGAGTATTCGTAAATCACAAGTCAGGGAAAACCAGAGCTTTGCCGGGACGACGAAGCCTACAAGCGACTCGGCAAGCAGTTGCAGCAAACGTTTTCTGCAGCCATTGAGGTTTTTGACCTCCGCGGCGCGTGCGTGCGCCTGGACTTTGTCCGCTTGCGGCCAACCAGCGGAGAACGCAACGTTAATTAGCCTCGAACTCTCGCCACGCTGTTACTAAGTCTCGCGCGGCAGAAGCCATCGATTGACAGGGGGCGTGCGGCGAAATGAGTAAGCACCGGCGACCAGGGCAGCGGACCGCCGCACTCTTTCCTCCAAACAGGACGCTCAAGGACGTTTCCAAGAAGCCTGTGTCTCGACCGGGCGAGTTTACTGGATTTTGTGTGTTTGCTGTTCAGTCCGAGGTAGAGATTCTCTCCTGGGCGGGGAGGCGCCCTAAAAGTCAACTCTCCTTCAGTCTACTCTAGATGACTAATTTTGTCAAAACAAAGGTAAGGTGCGGTTTCGTAGCCCCACTTGATGGACACAATACTGTTGGGTTTGGGGTTAAGTGTTAGGGTTAGGGTTAAAGGTTGGGGCTAGGGGTTAACACAACTATCTCTCAACCATTCAAAGCACAACCGCGCACTCCCAATAGCTTTTCTTTTGCATACAACTACTTGATCTCGTCGCTTGTGCGGTCCCCGGCTCAACCTCTAAAAACCCTTATTACCACCGATCCCGTATTAGAGGTGACTAGGGTTTGTTTACCTCAGGTGGGGCTACAAAACCACATCCAACCAAAACAAAAACTGAGTAGTCATACCGACAGTGACTAGTTTTGCCGGGATGACGGGTCTCGGCCTATTTGGCCTCATTAACCGGTCGCAACCCAACCCCCAGCTGGCGCGCAATACTTGTGCCAGAGTCATTTGAGGATCGAGAATTTCCGAGTCAAACGCCCCACCGACGCCTCTTTGGTTGTAGTCAGAAGCATTTGGATTTACGTTGGGTAGGGTACAGTAGTAAATGCTTCCATGAACTACATGCTTATTTGATTTAGATAGCTTGATATACATCTGGAGTAATCTCCGAGGCCTATTCTTGTCAACGCCACTTTCTTTTCTTCCTGTTTGATTGACGTCAAGTCGGCCGAGTTTATCCCTGCTACTCTTACCTGCGTCTTATATAACGTTTTCGATCACCGTGGATAGTGTACTTTGCTATTGGGAAACATTGCCGTCCACTGTTCTAGCTCCGTCTTCTAGAGTCCTTGCTAATCCAGTGAATCGTGCCCTGACCGCGGTTTTAGGTCCATGATTTATAGCTTCGTCTGGCGCACCTGCTAAGTCGAACATCGCAGTAAGCAACCGACTTTCCCCTAATAGACAACAGGGGGTACTTGTTTCCGCCCCCAACTGGTATTGACTAATCTATCCCACCGGAAAGATGGCATTACCTCGAAGCTGCGTAGCTGCGGCCGTCGGTTAACAAGAGACAACTCCGCCTCCAATACATCTCAACTGTTCTGTTACACTTCCTCCTGGGAGTTTTAAGGAGGCCTGAGCGTGATTATGACTAAAGAGCTACACGGAAAGAGAGAGATAGCTTTTCTACTTGGAATCAGCTTATCCTTGTATTTACCCAGTAACTATTTCTCTTCTTACTTCACTCTTCCACTGTAGTGTCGAGGCTTCAACTGATTATTATCCAGGTCTCCTCTCTAGCTGGGATGCATCAAAATTAAGTTATACTAGCCACGCAACGGTAGGCTGTGTCTGCTGGTGTTATACATCACAACTTAATTGACCGTCCTTCCTGTCGTAAGAACTCACTGTCAAATCTCTATGTCTTTATCCGTCCCTAGGCTTAAAAAAATTGACAGATTATTGGGGCTGGAAGCCGTATTATTTACGAAGCCAGTATGTGGACGCGAGGACTGGGAGTTAGGCTCAGTGACTCCTTAATGTGGCCTCTATGGCGTTCTCACGAACGCTAGATCCAGGCGCCCCTTTCCGTGAAAATTGACTATGATGTGCGGCGACAAGGTCGTGTGTGGCACCCGTAGACGGACTGTTTGGCCGTCAGCCATTGCGTCCGAGCGCACCTCTGGTCGTCTTGGCTCGGTCTTGCCATCAGAGCTTGCGGGGGGTGAGGAAGGAGAGTGCGGCAGGTGTTACGCAAGTCACCGGTGTTGCACCCACTTTGTGATGGATGCCGCTGCTCCAGCTCTAATTGTAACGCGAGCTGACTGAAATTGGCCATTCGGAACTGTCATTCGATGGAAGCCTTTATACTGTTCTGCGATGCAGTCTCTTTCCGTTTAGTCCTTTTCTTCTCTGTTCTGTTCGCACAAGCCTTAATGAAATTTGCCTCTGACCATTTTCGATCGTACTGCCTATTTGCTTTGGATGAACGCCCTGTACTAGGGCTTGAAGTGTCAACACACCAGTCCTGGGAGATGACGATGGAGTTAGTAAATATGGTCAGCCACTTGAGCGGCCGTCGTTGGGGCACATTTACTGTCTCAGCTCCCTTATTAAGTCTTTTGCCGGCTCGGTTCGCAAATCGGCGTGCTTTAACGAACCGAATAAAAACATAGAAAACAAAAATGAAAAAAAGGAAACGAACCGACTGGCGATGACCAACTGACATAGCTGGCAGGTAATACAAAGGCAGACAGAAAGTACACCTGCTTTATTTTTACCTTTCGCGCCTCTCATTTCAAGGACTGTTAACCCTGCGTGTTTGATCTGCTTTGTGATCATACAGCCTGTCTGTTAGCGCCGGTCGAGCTTTGAGACCTTGAATGACTGGGCTGCAGCACATCCCGGCATCTTTATGCTTTGCTTCCTATCGAAGTGGACAGGCATCCTGCTGCCTCACTGCGCTCGCGCTTTTCAGCCTGAAACTGTTTGCTTCCCCTTTAGGTACAAGGTTGGCTCTACGCTGTTCAACAGCTGATGTTCGCCTGCCAGACACTCGCGAGCTGGGGACAGTAGACTTTGCCGCTGCCGTCTTCTCCCTCGTGCGCTTTATGTTCCCCCCCCCCGCCCCCCTCCTCACACACCCGCACAGACCAAGAAGACCTTCTACTATGATTGTGTCTTTCCACACACACAATAACTCCCGCACTAACTGGCTCCCGCCACTGCAGCGGCGCCCACGCGTTGCGCTTTTGGGTGATTAACTTGTCCTTATTTTTGACTAAAGTGGGTTGGGCAGTGTTGTTTCCTCATTCATCTTAATCCTCTCTGCTCTGCCGCTGACGGCCCTTAAACTGCCGCCTGCTCTGGCCTGCAGCAGTCTCCAATGTTGCTGGTAAGGCGGACCAGATTCTTTGATCGTCATTCGCAGAGCACTTTTGGTTTTGTTCTCGTGTGATTTCTTCTCTTCTCCAGAGGTGTCTGGTTTCCAGTGTATAGCGAAAGTTGTACCGATTCTACTTAATCATATTTCCCCTAGGAAAATGCAAAAATTCAGGTGGTATGTCTCAGCGACGCTTTATTTGCCTTTGGTAAGCCGTCAGCGCTGGTTGAACTCGTAATAATTCACGAAGTTATCGCAAGCAGCGGCCAGAGAGTGTCGACTGGTTAGCAAGTCACGAAATATTGCCAGGTCGAATTGAAAGTCATCGAATAAAAAACGACGTGGGTGCCTTTTCATCACAGGACGCACTAGCGGCTGGCGGGACAGAGATAGCCCATGTGTAATTTGTCTTGCCATGCGGAGCCTTCCGCGATATCTTGATTGTGTGCGTCAGAATGGCATGCATACTTGACTGAGAGTCAAGCAGCAACGGCGCCTTCTTATTTTAGTCTCTATCGTACCAAGCACGCGAGATTCAAACCGTATCTACAGGAGCCAGGTTGTGTGTGGCACGGGCAGACGGGCCGTTCAGCTTTGTCGATCGATGTTTACGCCCGTCTCTGATCGTCCTGACGGTGCCTTTCCATTGCAGAAAAGCGATTGAGGAAAGAGTGAGAGCGGTAGATCCTGTGCAAGTCACCTCTGTTGCGCCCACTCCGTGTGGCACGCGGTGAACGTTGTTAGCGACAGTCGAACTGTCAATGGTGGTGGGGAAGGTATCTTTTTGACGCGGTTTGTTTAGCCAGTAAAACCGTCTACATGCCGTGTACACGCAGGCGGAGGATATGTCCCCCCCCCACCTCCAGCCACAATGACACCGATTTCATGGGAAAAGTAACGTGTGTGAGGTAGCGATGCACGGTATCCTCCACCCCCTCTTTTATAATCCAAACCACGAAAAGAGCATTGTCGTGTGCAATTTGACGCATGAAACCGAAAGTCAAGAAGACAGAGTAAGAGGAACGACTGAACTGAGACTGAGTACAGGAACGCCTGGTAGTGAATACAAACAAAAGTTGAGTAGGACGGAGTGAGCAACAGTCGCGACACTCGGTTGGGCCAATGACCGGCCACTGTCAAGGTCAAAACGACGCTCGGACAAACTAAGTTGCCAAGCTGAACGGGCAGACGACCAGGGTCCCAGAGGACTGTACTGTCGCACTACCGGTTGCGGGAAAACTTGGTAACGGGCACCACGTTGCGGTGACTCCGGGCTGGTTAGGTAATGGGTGTGGCAGTGTGTACGCTCTGACTCACATGGGGAGGTGAGGTGTCAAGTGACTCCTTGAGTGGAAAGTCAAGGACTCGTGCGAGGAGCGTATGGCGCGGGGGGTAAGGTACTTGGTGAGCGACGACCTACAAGTCCACCATTAAGTGTCTCGACTGCGATTTACTGTTGAAATACGGCCTTTGGTCTTGCTCAGGGACTTCGCGGTGACAGTGACGGCCTGTTGAGGAGTCGGTCGCTGGAATCGATTGCCGGCCGAAATAACTAAGGTTTGTCATCGGCTTGTGAGGGGAAACTGAGACCGACTCGCCAATAGAAAGCCTGACCAAGTTAGGACGGTGAGGTTGCAATGACCTGGTATGGCAGCTCGCGCTGGAGTGGAATCCTTGTTGTTGTCTGGTCCATTTGAAGATGCCGGTTCGTGCGTAGCAGATGGGAATTCTCTGTCACGCCAGCCACAGTGGGTAGGTGTGGAATGAGAAACAGATACGTGCTGTTCAATACCCCCCCCCTCCCGAACACACCGGGTCCTCAGATCAGTTACGGCTATTCTCAATTGCGATGGAGGACCGTGTACAGCAAGTCGCAGTTCCCCGTGTAGTAGTGACCTTTGATGATGGCAAACCCAGTGCGGGCAAGGAACACACAAAGGCCAGAAGTCAAATGCATAGGCCTAGAAAAGTAATCTTTAATAAACAGATCAGTAGTGAATCAGACTAGGCATGCAAATATTTAAAAAAAGAATTCACCTCCAGGGCTTTTCATTATCGCAGAAAAGTCTGTAAATGTGTAGATAAATTGCTCAAGGCCTTTACAGAAGAAGAATCCAAAGAGAAAGTAGTCCGGGGGGCATGGGAAGACGGTCTGTCAGGTAGTCGAGGAAGTCATGCTGATCTCTTGAAGCAGAAGTAGTCCTCAGAATTCTCGCCTTATTCCTATCCACGGTCCTTTCACATTCTAGAAGCGTGAGTTTCGAGGAGGGAGGTCGGGTGGACAACGTGAATTGTTGGTTTTGTAGTACGCCAGTTCAGATGAAAGACTTAGAATTCTGGAGCTGAGTTGTTCCACCTAAAACAAGCAGAATAAAGGAGCGGAATATTGAAAAGGCGCGCAAAAGTGTGTGCAGACGTTGCGAAAAAAAACAACAAAAGGTCTCACTGGAGGGCCAGTCTCGAAAGTCAATACTGCCCTAGGTAGCCCGTGATCGCATTTTAAACGTAGCTAAGAAAATTGAATTAGCGATAAGTTAGAAGTATGAGTTCATTTGCCACCTCTAGATCTAGTGAGTCCTAAGTGCGAGGGTTGTCTTCGAGTACTTAGGACCTGTCACACAGTACCGTGTGACAAAGGTGAACAGGGAATCAGCCTTACGGAAAACTTAAATTGTAGTTTCTGGTGTATTTGTCATTTCCAGTAGCCACGCTCCGGGAATGTCGGCGTTTTAAGCCGGCCTCGGTTAGCGATTGAACCAACGTCTTGCCACTGAGCTCACCGGTGTTGCCTTTCCATAGAACGGAACAGGACAGTGAGGACACGGACAAGGTGTAAAACTTGTCCGAACGCTCCAGGTCTTGTCGGTCTGTGTTCCGGGAATGCGCAGTTGGTGACGGCGAGACAGGAGCGACCATCTCAAGAGGATCGAGACCATCGATTAAAATAGGGTGTAGTAAATGTATTCATGTAGTTAAAACAATCTACTGGAATCGCATCAGTAGCAATAGTGTATTGAAGCGCCTGAGGGAATACCGAGGATGAAGGGTCTGGTAGCTAGAACAGTGAGCGCGTTGGCTGTCCATGCGCGCCTGGTCTTTTGTCACATGGAGACGCGAAACCGATGTCGCAGCCGACTGAGGTCTCAGAAAAGGCGATCTAAACTTCCCTCGCAGATCAGTCTTTTACCGTACACATCGGCAGGGGGGTGGTGAGAGGTCAAACAGGAATACACGCACACAGCAGGTATTGGCGACCGTCGCAAGCGGACACAGTATGTGAATTAGTCTATAGTGTGGCGGGCTTGCACACAGTCTACCACACTCTCTCTTGCTCCACCCACCTTGTTTCGATGACAAGACAATATCAAGACGACCGGAGGTAGGCGTGGGCGCAATGGCCGACAAAGCTAAACGGCCTTCTGCGCGTGCCACGCACGACTTGGCGCGCACAACATTGGAGCATAGCATATTTTGGGCTAGTAGGCAATGGCCTTGATGACCCTCTTGAAAACGGTACATACAATATCAATGTTAAGTGCACATCCCACTAATATTTTGCCAGTAACCTATTTTTTAGGAAACCGTTTTTACAGTGCGGGACTGCGAAGGGTGCGGCACGCAGTCTTTTCCATGTACATATGAAATTTTAAGTGCAATTATATACAATCAGCATAAAGTGCAATCATTTGCGTAGTTTTCGAGGAGGGATTTCATTAAACGTGCAGGGATGTGTTACGTAGGGATTAAATTAGGAAATGAAATTTATGGCTGGCCGCAGATAGTCCTGCAGTGAGAGTCGTCGTTTATCAAAGATCAAACGATCCAGCTGCCTTTTGAATACAGCCATTGTATCAGATGTCACTATTTCACTTGGGAGTGAGTTCCACAGTCGAACGACACGTTGGCTGAAGGAAAACTCCCGATGTTCTAGGCGTGTACGCTTCCGCCCGACTTTGTACGGATGACCGTGCAGGTGACTCATGGTCGTGAATTCAAAGAAGTCTTCAGATTTGAGCAAACACTCATGCCCGTGCACAATGCGGAATGTGCATAACAGGCCACATCTCACTCGTCTATAGGATAGGGCGAACAAGTTTAGCTGGATCAATCTTTCTGGGTATGACAGAGCCCTGAGACCGTCCACCAGTTGTGTGGCCCGTCGTTGCACCTGCTTTATGGCCCATCACTGTCTTTCTTCATCCAGGGCGTCCACGATGGCCTTCCGTATTCCAAAGGCGGTCTGACGAATATCTGTGAGAAGAGTTCTGGAGGAAAGATTGTGAAGGCACGCCTAATCCAGTGCGTAATGCTGGTTGCTTTTTGGGCGGCTCTTTTGCAGTACACGAGGCATCTGCGAGGCCGTCTCGGGTCATGAAGGTCAAATCAAAATGAAGTCATGGCAGTCTGACACTGCAGGCCGTGGACATAATGTAGGTTTTATCTGGAAAACTCCAGATCCGGAATATTGGCAGAAGACGCTACGGTAAGATGTGGTTTGGTGGCCCTACCTGGCAAGAATGGTGCAACTGTTTGACCTACCTATATGCTTTCGAGTAGCCGTGATTCAGGGTTTGGGGTTGGGTTGTAGGATTAGGGTTCAGGTGTTAGGGAAAGGTTTGGGCTAGGATTTAGGGTTTAGAGTTACGGTTAGAGGTTAGGGTTATGGTTTGATGTTTAGGGTCATGCTTACGTT